CTATATCTATATCTATATCTATATCTATATCTATATCTATATCTATATCTATATCTATATCTATATCTATATCTATATCTATATCTATATCTATATCTATATCTATATCTATATCTATATCTATATCTATATCTATATCTATATCTATATCTATATCTATATCTATATCTATATCTATATCTATATCTATATCTATATCTATATCTATATCTATATCTATATCTATATCTATATCTATATCTATATCTATATCTATATCTATATCTATATCTATATCTATATCTATATCTATATCTATATCTATATCTATATCTATATCTATATCTATATCTATATCTATATCTATATCTATATCTATATCTATATCTATATCTATATCTATATCTATATCTATATCTATATCTATATCTATATCTATATCTATATCTATATCTATATCTATATCTATATCTATATCTACGTAAAATTAAGTACTGCTACCTTTTAAATCAAATCTCCATTTAACTTAGCGTTTAGTACTGTTCAAACCTGAAATGGCATTCTGGCACATTCAAATTTAACACTTCCTATAGAATGTATGGATCTTTAAGCCTATTAATAATTCAATTTAAACTGAAAAAATAGGTGCATAAAAAATCAATTTTTACGGCTAGAGGACTGACATGATCGCTATTATTACAAGCGAAGTGAAATTCATGTTAAAATTAAACTTTGAAATTTTTATCAGGACTAGATTTTAAAAACCTTTCGGGAACAGTAATCTTTGTTATACTTTAGTTTTGTATCTTGACTTTCATCAACACACATACTTTTTAATGTTTCGTTATATTAGTCGAAATCAATTAAAATATAAATAGCGTCATGTATTCGTTATTAGTTCTAATGTGGATGCAGATCTGTATTTGTTAAAAATCCAAATATCTGTGTCAAAAGCGGATTCAAAGTGGTATTTCATTCAAGCAGCAGATAACCCTCTTTTAAGAGGCGTGTGTTGTGATATCAGAAACAGTAGGCCTACATTCCCTTTAAAGCAGAACGGGAGTTGACTGATAATATTCAAAACATAACTACTCAAAACAATAAACATATAAAACGGAAATTGATACCTACTACAACGCTAAAGGTGTTTACTGCCCTATGTTTAAAAAAAAAATCCCTCGTTTTCTTATTATTTTTTTGCTTTATTGCTCTTTTTAAAACATCAAATATTTTTTTAAAATATACATTAAAAACAAATGCATTTATTTTTTTTTCACCGATATCTACATTATTATAATCCTTTATTACAATATTTTACAGGTATTAAAATGAAAAAAAAAAGCATCTCATGACTTGTGTTTTACGAATGTATTTGGTGCATATGTATAACGATTCCATGGAATCATGAAGCTATTATGTATAATAGTGACAGACGGACATACAGAGAGACGGACAAAGAAAAAGATAGACGGACAGAGAGACAAAAAGACAGAGAGACAGACAGACAGACAGACCGAGAGACAGAGAGACAGAGAGAAAGAGAGACAGAGAGACAGAGAGACAGACAGAGACAGAAAGACAGACAGAGAGACAGAAAGACAGACAGACAGACAGACAGACAGACAGACAGACAGACAGACAGACAGACAGACAGACAGACAGACAGACAGACAGACAGACAGACAGACAGACAGACAGACAGACAGACAGACAGACAGACAGACAGACAGACAGACAGACAGACAGACAGACAGACAGACAGACAGACAGACAGACAGACAGACAGACAGACAGACAGACAGACAGACAGACAGACAGACAGACAGACAGACAGACAGACAGACAGACAGACAGACAGACAGACAGACAGACAGACAGACAGACAGACAGACAGGCAGGCAGGCAGGCAGACAGACAGACAGACAGACAGACAGACAGACAGACAGACAGACAGACAGACAATAAATGAAAATTATCAAGTTATTTTTGTGACATATTTTTTTTTACCCCTGAAACTTTAGAAATGACTAGAATACCCGTCATCCGTTGGATAACTGTGGGTTTCGGGGGTCATCCATAAAAAAACATCACGTCTGTCACTCAGAGGAATAGCGACCCTTCCCGGCGCCCGGGGACAAACTTTTCGATTTTAACCCCCCCCCCCCCCCAAGATTTCGATTTTCAACCCCCCTCGAACTTTTTATGTGCACCCCCCCCCACTCAAACTTTCGATTTGAACCCCCCTCAACCTTTCAATTTATTTTTCCAAACCATTTTGGCGCCCCAACATATGTCCCCCCCCCCCGCCCCCCCTCCACCTCCCCCCGCCTCCCCTCCCCTTCCCCCCCCCGCCTCCCCTCCCGCCCCCCCCCCCTCCTCGCTACGCTACTGCAGTGTCACTTATCGTCACAAAAAACAGACCCCACATTCAAAAATATGTTTCTTATCTTTTAATAACACCGAAAACACCGATTTCGGACTATCCCTTCATATACTGACGTCACATGTGACCTACTCAACT